CATACCTGCGTTGCGTAAAAATGCTCTGAGGTCGATTGGTCCTTTAAGGGTTGTCATCTCCGTTGCCGATGCATGGCCGCATTTTGACCGATGTTGTTGTGTGGGAAGGATCAAAATAAGGCAGGGTTTCCCGGCTCTGTAGCGGTTTTTCCTTTCGATGCTACCCGATACAGTAATCCGCCGTAGGGGGGGGAGTGGGGACACGCTGCGGAGCTACGGCAGTGGGATAGCACGCGGCGGGAGGGTGAGGGCGAGGTGAGGGGCGGGGCGGTGGTGGGGGCATGGGGAAGAAGGATACGTACATAGTGGGCAGGAGGACGACCAGGATCGGTGAATGAAGCAGCAAAGTAGGAATAGAGCAGAGCAACAGCAAGGGAGTTGAGGAGGAGGAGGTGGAAGCGGCCCATGAGGGTGTCACTGCCAAACCATGGGATGATGATGATAAACTCAACCACGGTGTAGATGTAGCCAATGATACCAAGGGCAATGAGCTGGAACACTAGGTCATCCTTGAAGCACATACTCACTCACGCACACACACACAAACACACACACACACACACTCTCTCTCTCTCTCTCTCTTGCTCAATCTGTCTCTCACACAGTGATCGATGCCTCGGTTGCCGCTCGCTTCAAATCACCTGAATCGTCTCCGGACAGAGTCGAGTGTCGGCAACTGACGCAGGCCTCCTCCATTCGCGCTGATGCTTGCTCTTGGGCACGCCTGATGGCTGTACATCGGCGGTATCAATCGGTCTCTTGTTATGGTCGCAGGGGCGACATGCCGCCGGACTAGCGATGGTAGAGCGAGGTGGGGCCATGGAGCGGGCGCTCATAGATGTACGACTTGCGCGGCGCCGACGAGTTGAGCGGCGCGGTGCGGTAGGCGTTTGAGCCTGCGGGCGCCGACGAGAACTGGCCACGGATGCCGTGCCAGCGCATCGGAAGCTCGTGAACGGACGGGTTGCGCGAGCCAATGTCGGCTGCAGTCGTCTGGTACAGCGGGTGCTCTTCATCGCGGGTTGTCTTCCACTTCAGCGACCGGAACCGGGCCGGCGGCTCGTGGCCTGACCGCAGGAACTTGGTCGACGCCAGATAAGCCTCGTCATCCTCGCCACCAGCTGCCGGTGAGCCTGCTTCCTGCTGCAAGCTCTGAGTCTGGGCCTGAGCCTGAGCCTGGGCCTGAGCCTGGGCCTGAGCCTGGGCCTCAGCGAGAGCCTGGGCCGAGTAGTCGGCGGCCTCGCGCTGTGCGGCATACGGATCCGGGCGGCGCTCTTGAGCCCAAGAGACCGAGTTCCCAAGCCGAGCGCCACGAGTTCCACCAAGCGCCGAGCGGGCCGGGTAGCTAGATGATGCCGGCGGCGGGGAACGCGGCTGGTGGTGCTGCGGCGGGACTGCAGCGCCAAAACGGGCGGCGACGTTGGCGCGGACCTCATCGGGCATGTACTGCGGAAGACGACCGTAGCGACGCTGAACAGTCGGCCGCTGCACTTGATGCCGCGAGAGCGATGCATCACTCCCTCTCTGCGCGCCAGCCGCCGCGGCCTCCTGCGGCGGGGCGAGGATGTTGTAGCCACGACGGGCGTTAGAGGGCGAGCCGACAGGCTTGCGACGGGTGCGGTTGTGCGACTCGATCTGCGAGTAGCCCTGCGACGAAGAATCTGCCGCCACAGGGCGACCAGCCGGACGACTCTGCCATAAAGACAACGGGCGAGATGCTAGTGAGTGCCAGCGAGTGGCGGCCGAGTGGTGAGGGGCCAACGGCAGGTGGCGGCAGAGGCGGGGAGGGCGGGAAGGGTAGAGGGGGGGAAGGGGGGGAGGAGGGGAGGGGGGAAGTGTACGTACGGGTGGGAGTTCCATTTGTGTTACGGTGGTGGTGGTGGTGGTGGTGGTGGTGGTGGTGGTGGTGGTGGGTATGTGTGGGTGTGGGTGCGGTGGCTGTTCCTGTGCCTCTGGTGGTGCCTTCTGTCCTCACTCGGCCACTTGCCCTGCTTGCCACTCACTCCGCCCAAAAGGACTGGTGGCGGGAGACCAGCGTCAGTTGTTGCCGTTCACTGGCTGGCGCTCGATCACCGCCCACAAAGCGATCAATCACACTCGCCAGCCACAACCAGACACCGAGACAGACACGTCCGTCGCGGCAAGGGGTAGGGGTAAGGTCACGACTCGGCTTCATGCAGAAGGTCCAAGTGCTTAGCGAGTCGGAGCGTCGGGCGCGACGGCTACAGACGCGGTTGGAACGGGCTGAGCTGACGGCACCGGAGCAGAGTCCTCCTCGGCCTGCCAGACTGCCGCCTGGAGGTCGACTTCGCCCGCGTCGAGGTGGCCTGGCCAAGGCGACGAGGAGGTCGCCGAGACGTGTTCATGGGCCAGATCCACGTAGTAGAAGTAGCGGGAGTGGCGCAAAGGATGGTGAGAGGGCTGGTCATCGTGATGGGGAGTGGCGGGCGAGTCTGTGGCAGTGGGCCAAGCAGGCGCGAGCGCAGGCGGGCAAGGCGCTCGACGACGAGCTGCACAAGCTGACGCAGAACGTGCGGCTGTTCTCGATGCAGATGGCGGAGGAACGAGCGCTGGATGCTGCTATCCGCGACGATGCTGTCCGCCGCCGCCGTGAGGCGCGGCGCGTCCGGCGCGAGAAGGATCGCATGGCCAAGTTTGCTGCCCGCCGCCGCGACGCCCACGCCTGCCACCGGGCACGGCTCGCCAAGCTTGACTCCGAGATCGATGCCCGCCGCACTGCAGCTCGACAGGATGACGCCGCAGCACGGGCGCGGGCGGAGAAGAAAAAGCTCGCGCTGGGCGCGCGCTAGCCAAGGAGCGTGCTCGGCAGCGCGCTCGTGACGCCAAGGTCGCCATCGGCCCACATCCGCTCACCCGGCCCATCTTGCGGACGCTTGCTGACCAGGACGCTATTGGCCGCTCGGCTGCGCGCGCACGCTACGCGTCGGATCAGGCTGCGTACGCGCTGTTTCTGCAGACCGAAGCCTGGCGGGCGCCGCGGCCGGACGAACAGGAAGAGGCCGCGGTGCTGGCGGCCAAGATGAAGGAGGCCCACATCACGTTTGAGCTCGACGAGGTCGTTGACGACATCAATCTTGTAGCGCCGATCAAAGGCATCGACTCGGATGCGGTGCTCGACATCCTCGACCTGCAGTCGTCGCGCGCGGCGCAGCGGCTGCTCCTTCGTCTGCCGACTGACGGCGGCAGCCCGCTGCGGTCGGGATTGGACCCCGACCGCGGATGGGATGCACCGCTGCCGCCACCGCCGACCATCCTGCCGCCTCTTACTGATGATGCGGAGCGCTGAGGTCAATTGTCATTTACTTGTCGCATTCTCACTTGGAGCCGTGGAGTGAGTGGACGACCCCGCGGCGCGAGAGTCCCATCCGGCGGCGGACGCCTCCACTGAGCATCTTGAGGCCTCCAAGGCCCTTGCTCTCCCCAGACGGTAGCAGCGGCTTGGCACGTTTGCGCGCCGGAAGCGAGAGCGGCTTGGCCGATCCGCCCGACGGCAGCGCACGCTTGCGTGACGCTGCAGGCGCGGCCACGGGCGGCACCGGCTTCCTGGCTGATGTTCTGCGCCGCTTTGGCACCGGCTCGTCGTCGTCGTCGTCGTCGTCGTTACCATCGTCGTCATTGCCGTTGGTGGTGTATGTCTCATCGTCATTGTCGCCGCCGTCGTCGTCGTCGTCGTTGTCGTCGTCGTCGTGGTTGCTGCTTGCTGAGCGGCCGCGCCGCGATGCACGACCCTTGGGCGTGGCCTTCTTCTTGGGCGTGGCCTTCTTCTTGGGCGTGGCCTTCTTCTTGGGCGTGGCCTTCTTTCTAGGCGCGGCCTTTTTCCTGGGCGCGGCCTTTTTCCTGGGCGCGGCCTTTTTCCTCGGCGTGGCCTTCTTCTTGGGCGCAGACCTGGTTCGTCCCCGCTTCCGCGGCGGCGGCTCGAGTTCGGATGACCCGTCTCCGCCGTCGCTGTCATCACTCTCCTCGTTGTGAATGCTAAACGACGAGCTCTCGTCCTCTGACTCTGACAGCAAGGGTGGAAAGCCATCGTCGAGGTTTGGAGGTGCATAAACAGGCGCCTTACCACGTCGGGAGCGGCGTCCACGAGACGACCGCCCCTCCATGGCCTCTGCGGCCTCTGCAACGGCGATGGCCTCCGCCATGGCTTTGGCCTCGGCCTCGGCCTTTGCCTCGGCCGCAGCCTCGGCGCTCGCGGCAGTCTCATCGTCGCCGTCGCTGTTGTCTGGTTCGGGCGAGCCACGCCTGCGCTTGCGCGACGAGTTTCGCGGTGACTTGGCCTTGGCCGCAGCCTCGGCGCTCGCGGCAGTCTCATCGTCGCGGTCGCTGTTGCCTGGCTCGGGCGAGCCACGCCTGCGCTTGCGCGACGAGTTTCGCGTTGACTTGGCCTTGGCCGCAGCCTCGGCGCTCGCGGCAGTCTCATCGTCGCGGTCGCTGTTGTCTGGCTCGGGCGAGCCACGCCTGCGCTTGCGCGACGAGTTTCGCGTTGACTTGGCCTTGGCCGCAGCCTTTGTCTTCTTCGTGTCCTTCTTTGTCTTGCCAGCTCCCTTTGCCTTTGTGCCGCGCCGAGAGCGTGTGGTCTTTGGCTCAGGTTCGGGTTCGGGCTCGGGTGCCTGCTCAAGCATCGGCTCAGGTCTGGGATCGGCCTCGGGATCGGCCTCGGACACCGGCTCGACCTCGGGCACCGCCGGCTCAGCCTCGGGCACCGGCTCGACCTCGGGCACCGCCGGCTCGGCCTCGGGCACCGGCTCGACCTCGGGTACCGCCGGCTCGGCCTCGGGCACCGGCTCGACCTCGGGCACCGCCGGCTCGACCGCGGCCACCGCCGGCTCAGCCTCGGACACCGGCTCGACCTCGGGCACCAGCTCAACCTCGCCAACCAACTCAACCTCGCCCACCAACTCGATCTCGGGCCCAAGCTGCGGCTCGGACTCCAGCTCGGGTTCGGGCTGGGTCACCGGCTCGGGCTCAGGCTGGGTCACCAGGTCGACTTCCGACTCGGGATCCACCGACGCCACCACGGCCGGCACGCCCTCTTGTGAGACCGAGAGTGAGCGCCGCTGGTTCTGTGACGCTCGCTTGAGACGTGAGACCCGCCGTCCACTTGTTGGCGGCTCCTTCTCGGGGGTGGGCGGAATGCCATCCAGAGTCCTGTCGCATACCCTCGTCGCGACGTGAGTCCGAAAAAGGTCGTGTTTCTGACACCCGTCCGCCACGCCACGACCCTCCCTACCCACAGCCACGCCCTTACCGTCACCACCACGCACACACACACACACAAGCATACACACACAAGCACACCCATCATCATCCATAAACGTACGAGCTCATACCGTCCTAGCCAGGCGACGACAAGTGTGACCGCTTCGCGCTTGCGCCCTCGCCCGCCGTCGACCGTCGGCCACCGATCGGCCGCTCGCCGACGTGAACCAATCGCTCACGGCTTGATTCATTGTACAATGCAGCACGCCCGCTCCTGGCGGTGGCGGTGGGTGCGGCCTTCGGCGTACGGCCCGGGTCCGACGCTGTCAAAGTCGATGTCATGGCCGTTGCCCGCCCGCCCCGCCGCAGTGTGGGATCGTGAGCGACAGAGACCGTATTGGCTGCAGGTGTCTCGCCGGCGAGGATGACCTGGACCCTTGGCGAGAACGAGACCCGCGACTCGAGTGCCGCCAACCGATCCCGGCGCCCGCGCCGGTGCCCGGCCTTGCCCCCCACGGGCGAGGCCTGCGATGACTCGCTCGAGTCGTCCGATAGTCCAGATGTCTCCGAGGAGGACTCGGCCGGCGTTGACGCCCGGCTTGGCGTCCGCGTCGACGATCCCGACCGCCGCTTGCTCTTCTTACCCTCGCGGATCCGCGGCACCTCATCTTTGTTGACCAGCACAGGCTTGGCCGGCGACATCAAGAGCGACCGCTCAAACGTATCAAGGTCTGCGTACCGCGGGTTGTCCAGCACCTCACCAGGCGTCATCAAGTCGATCGAACCCGTGCCTGTCCCACCACCACTTCTTGATCCCGATCCCGACCTCAGCCCGGCCTTCCGTCGTCGTCTTGCCCGTCGCTTCCGTCTCTTCCGCCGCGACGAGCTCGAGCTCTGGCTGGTCGCTCCGCAGCCATCGCTGCCTGTCGTTCCCGAGCCCGAACCCGAGCCATAACCCGAGCCCGAGCCCGAGCCCGAGCCATACCCCGAGTCATACCCCGAGCCCGAGCTCGAGTCTACCGGTGACCTGTTCTCCTTGCCCCTGCCCCTGCTCCTGCCCCTGCCCTTGCCCCCGCGCACCCGCCGCCTGCTGCCACCGCGCACTTTGGCGCCTCCATCGTCAAACGACAGCCGCCGCACCACCTCCTCGCTCGAGCCGCCAGACTCGCTCGAGCTGTTCTCTGACCCGCGCATGCCTCCCCGCGCTTTCCCCTTCCGGAACAAGCCCCTTCCGCCTGCTTGTGGCTGTTGCGAGTCGAGTATCGGCCGACTTGGCGCCAATGGGAACACGCTGCTGTTCCGACACGCCGCTGACATGCTGAGACAGAGTTATTTACCCAAAGAGCGGCTAACTCTTACGGTACGGTCGTTCGGACGCGTTGTCGCGCTTCTCAAAGTGAGCAACCCGATGATGCTTGACTTCCAGGTCACCAGTAGACGATGCGCGACGCCTGCTTGGCCTGCGGCTTGAGGTAGGAGGCGCACCTGTACGTGATGGCGGCCGACACGTAGAGGTCCGCCTGAAGGATGCTCGAGTTACCGTCGCGGTGACGACCCCGACGACCGGAAGGAGAGCATGACAGAGTTGAACACAGCGGCCGGACAGGAGAGCGGGAGGACGTTGTGGATCGTCTTGCGACGGACGAGCTTGCCGGTCGGCGTGGCCGCGCAAGTGGTGGCACGCCATCTTGTTCTGGATTCTGGACGCCGCGCGCATCAACGCGTACGCGCTCTACGCTGACATGAACCCACGCCCCGCCATAGCTCGCGTGGCTTCCCTTACGCCTCATCGACGCCCTCGCCGCCAGCGCCGACGCCGCCAGCTTCGCGCCGTCGCGCAAGCGGGAGCGCACCACTGCAGCGGCTGCTTGTCATCACCACATTCCCCAACAAGCCGCTCCGCGATGCGACTGCCTCGCCTGCCGGAAGCTTCATGGTATGCGATCGCGGCCGCGGACCTATTGCGCCGCGTGTGGCGTCCATCTTTGCATCGCCGACTGTTTTCTGTTGTAACCCACCAGTGACCACGGCAGCCATCAACTCATTGCACTACTCTATTGCTGCGATGGACGTTGCGACGTCTGTGGAGCGTCGCGGAGCGCGGCTCGTGTGATGGACAAATGTGTTCATTTCGTACCGTAAAGGGCTAAACAAAGAGCCGCTTCGGCTGGCACAGCCCGCGAGGTCGCTTTGGCGTACGCACTAGCTCAATCTTGCCCGGAGCGACTTTTCCGGGCGTGATTGGGGCTGTCGGCACAGTGATGAGCTCGCTGTCTGTCCCCGAGGAATGCCGCCGCCGCTTGCGCTTACGCACTCGCCGTCGCACCCGCGTAGGATCAAGGGGGGTGAGCGGGTTCGGCATCGTCCCACCCAAACACTCGACAGTGCTCAGCATCTCGTCTGCCGCGGCCAGCCGCAGCGGTGACAGCCCGGGTACCACAAACGCAGAGCCAGGCCGCCCGCCCGGCGAGACCTCCGGCTGGACCGCCACCGCCACCTCCGCCGGCGTGCACATCGCCGCGCTTCTGCCGCACACAGGCGCGTTCTTCTTCGGCGGCTGCATGCTCATCAGCAGTTCCGTCAGCTCCGCCTCCACAAACTCGGCAAGCATGGTGACTACTTTGGTCGTGCCTGTGCCTGGCGCGGGCAGCGGCGGCTCGGCCGCGCCGTCGTCAGCCTCGACCACGGCTTCGGGCTCTACAACCGCCGCACCCAGACGCTGCTTGTAGCGCGGCATGCCCGGCGGCTTGCTTGGATCCTGCCCGAGGCAGACGCAGACAAAGACCCGCCCCGAGAGCGAGCCGCGTCGCTGAAAGTCCCACACTGCCTTGAGCACATCCGACGAGACGTCGAGTTGGGCGAGGTCTGCATGCTGCGGCACCACAAACCGTCCTGCGTACTTGAACACCTTGCCGCGCTCCAGGTGGCGCGTCCACCACTTCCGGTTCCGCGGGATGTCGAGCTTGTGGCGCGGAATATGGAAGAGCTCGGCAAAGTGGTCGACGACCTGGCACGCCTGCCAAGTCCGCGCATCGGTTCCCCCTCCCGACGCCCCGATCCGCACCGCCTTGTCGAGAATGGTGAGCACAATCTGCGACTTGTTCCGCCGGTCCTGTGCCACTTGCCGTCGCACCATGTTGTACATCGTGCTCACAAAGTTGCCCAGCACGACAGGTAACTTCAGCACGGCCTTCGCCTTCTCGCCGCTCTTGAGCGCCTCCTGGCACACCTTCATGCCATTGCCCACAGCCCGCGCCAAGAGCGTCGCCAGCAACGAAATGAGCTCGTCGACATCAAAGACATGCACTTGTCCCGGCCATGCCTCGTCCCACTTGCCGGCCTCTGGCGGCACCAGCAGCGACGCCACCGCCGCCAACGCCTTTAGGCACTCGCCCAGCTCCAGCTCCAGCGACTCGGTCTCCAGCATCCCTCTCTGCTGCAGCTGCAGCCCCGTGAGCGTCTCGGTTATCCCGCGCCGCACTAGCGCGCCAGTCGCGGACAAACGATAGCACCGCACCGCCTCAAGGTCGCCGGCGGCAATCGCGCCCGCACCAGAGTGTGCAGTCTCGACCACCCACGCCCACATCATGTAGCGCACTACCTTGCCCTTCTCCAGGAACGACATCGTCGGTGCCGCGCCGGACTTGGAAGGCGCAGACGCCGCCAGGGCCCAGTACTGTGGCGCCGACCACAGCTGCTTGGCCACCGACATCCGGATGCGATCTACCGGCTGTGCCCACATCATGTGCGAGAGATTTTTGCTCTGCTTCAGCAGTACGTCCAGCCCGCGCAGCCGCCGCTTCCGCGTCTCCTTCCGTGACAGTTCCGTCACACTGCATGCTGGCCGCAGGCCGTGGTACAACGGGCCTGCATGCAACGCCCGCACCAGCTCATCGTGCACCGTCCGCTCATCACGCGCCACGTATTCCAGCTTGCTCAGTCCACCACGCACCACCAGCGGCGACGCACTGAGTGCAGACATGTCTCCCTTCTCCGTCGCTGTTCGAGAGAAAGGTGTTCCTTGCACGCGAGCAGCTGCCCAGCGAGAAAAAAGCTCGCTCGCCACCCGTGTCACGCGTTCCACACTGGACCACAGCCCGGCACGCACCGCAAGGCTCCTCAACACCGCTGTGTGCATCAGATACCGCCCACACGCGGCAGAGTCAAAGACCACACCCTCCGCTGCACGTCCTGTGAACTGCGCTTCTCCATCTTCCATAGCTCCTCCAGTTCGACATCGAGTAGCAGCAAGTGCCTGAGTGGCAGGTTCAGAAAAAAGCCGTCATTCGGACACACTGCCGACAGCAAGAGCGGCGAGCCGGTCACGCGTGCCCGAGTGGCAGGTGCAGAAAAAAGCCGTCATTCGGACACACTGCCGACAGCAAGAGCGGCGAGCCGGTCACGCGCTGCCGATGCGTCCCATCCGGCCCCAGCGATCAGGTTGTCGACGACGTGGACAAAGGTGCTGAGGAAGAGGCGCGCAAGGCCCGCGGGCTCACCAAGTGCTCCTGCCACGTCGTCCGGCACGCCATGGTCGCTGGTGGGGTACGCCGCGAGGATGGCGGCCAAAGCGTGTCTGACCGCAGGCGAAAGATCGGCTTCGCTCACAACGCCGCCATTGAGCTCCTCGGCGGTCGCCATCCAGAACGTGAGATCGCCAGCGTAGATGAGCGCCAGCAAGTGGGTCGACGAGTACACGCCAAGCGCAAGCAATGCGCGGATCGAGTCCTCGTTGGCCGCCGAGCCTGCGAGCTCGGCCACTCCCTCGCTGCCGCCCGTGACCACCGCAGCGGCGGCAGGGCGAGTCGCCGCGGCGCTGGCATCGGCGTCCAGCCGCCGCCCGACAAGCCGCACAAGCCAGAACAGCGCCTCAGACGCCAACTGCGGCAGCATCTCCCGTAGCTTGGGCAGTCGTCCAGCGGTGCCAGCCCGCATTTCATCGCCGAGGAAGCAGCAGACAATCATGTACCGCAGAGAGCCGTTCCGCCACGCGATCGTCTCCAGCAGATCCAGGTCCAGAGCTGGCGGCAGGTCTTCAAACAGTTCGGCTCCGAGCCGAGCAGTCACTTCGGCCCGCTTCTCCACGTACGCGTCTGCAGCGGCGGCGACCTCGGCCACGATCCCGAGCGCCATGATCATAAAGTCCTCCGACGAGTCCGGGAGGCCTTCGTTGAGCGCCAAACACTCGGGTGCATACGACTTGTCGATACGTGACGCCAGCGACTTGCTCACCAGCCCATCAATCGTCGCCACCGTCCTCGCCGCCGTCCTTCCGTCCACATCTGCCGGCGCCTCGCCATTCCCCCTCTCCCTGCTTTGGTGATGCGGCAGGATGACCTTGGCCACGCTCCATGCCTTGAACACCTCCAGCACCTCGCCGCTCCCTACCACGCACTCCTGTCCTCCGCTTTTGCTCTCTTCGGTGCTGCTCATGCTGCTCTCTCTCTTCCCCTGCTTGCGACAACTGGTGTGCTCAGCAGCCACTCGGTCCGTCCGCCGCTCCCTCGACCTGCTCACTCCCGCCCATCCCCCCCAACCAGCCCACCATAGCCTCGACACATCTCCGATGCCCGCTCTACTGTGCATCTACTTCCGTCCAACCCCCCCCCCCCCCCCCCCACTCCAACCCTATCTCCTCCATCAACCCCTCATCGCCATCCTCATCTCCATCCCCACCATCACACCCGTCTCGGCAGTCCTCAACCCCCTTCTCAACCTCCCCACCTCCTCCACCACCCCTCCGATGCCCACTCCGCCACCCCTTCCCATCTCCCTACTTCCATTCCTCCATTCCCATCCAATCCGATCCCCTCTACCAGCTCACCATCGTCATCCCCATCTCCATCCCCATCTCCTCTCCCTCAGCAAGGGATCCACCCCATCCCCCCCTCTCTTCCCCTTCCCCACACCTCACTCCCTCCCCCCTGCCAATATGGACTCTATTGAGATCACATACTCGCCGGACGTGGCCTCTGCTCTGGCTGCAGGCCTCCCGGTTGTGGCCCTCGAGTCGACCATTGTGGCCCATGGTATGCCATATCCGGAGAACCTGGTGACCGCCCGCGAGGTCGAGGCGACGGTCAAGGACGCCGGTGCTGTTCCTGCTACCATTGCCATTGTCGATGGCGTGATCAAGGTCGGCCTGACGGATTCAGAGCTAGAGCGCCTTGCTGCCATGGGCCCAAAGGTGGCAAAGGTCTCCCGCCGTGATGTGGCTGCCATCGTGGCTCGGGCTGCTACAGGCGCTACAACTGTAGCAGCAACATCGCTCATCGCTGCACGTGCCGGCATTGCTGTCTTTGTCACCGGTGGTATCGGGGGTGTTCATCGCGGTGGCGAGCTCTCCATGGATGTCTCTGCTGATCTCGCTGAGCTGGCTCGGACTCCGGTGGCTGTCGTCTGCGCCGGCGCAAAGTCCATTCTCGACATTCCGCGCACTCTTGAGGTGCTGGAGACTGCGGGCGTGCCGGTTATCGGCTACGGCACAGACGAGTTCCCGGCCTTCTTTACTGCCCACTCGGGCTCGGCTGCTCCGCTGCGGATGGATTCTCCGGCCGAGATCGCCCGCATGGTTGCTGCCTCGGCCGCCCTCGGCCTCGGCGGTGGCGCCGTCATCGGCGTCCCCATTCCCGACAACGCCGCCGCTGACGGCGCCGTCATTGAGGCTGCCATCTCGCGCGCTCTTGCCGATGCCGACCACCGCGGCATCACCGGTCGCGCCCTCACCCCATTCCTCCTCGAGCGCGTCGCCCACCTCACCGGCGGCGCCTCGCTCGAGTCGAACATTGCCCTTGTCCTCAACAACGCCAAGGTCGGCGCCGCTATCGCCTGCGAGCTCGCCGCGCTCCGCGCCAAGAACTCGGCATCTGCAGCCGGCCCGTTGGTTGTCGGCGGCGCAGGCCTCGACGTCGTCGGCACCGCCGGTGAGACCGGGCTCGTCGCCGACTCGTCCGCCCCAGGCACCATCAGCTACGCGCCCGGCGGCGTTGCACTCAACATTGCGTCGGTGCTTGGCCGGCTCGGCGCGCGCCCAGCCCTACTCACCCGCATCGGCGACGATGTTCCGGCGCACGCAGTCAGCCGTCAGCTCGAGACGTGCGGTGTGGCGTCCGAGCTCGTCACGTCGGTCCCCGGTGGGCGGACTGGCTCGTACCTCGCGGTGCTCAAATCGACCGGCTCGCTCGCCTACGCCGTCGCTGACATGGCTCTGGTGGACGGCCTCGACTTTGACGCTGCCGCTGTCGAGGCCGCCTACAACGGCGCGCCGCCACCGGTCATCATCGCCGATGGCAACTGCTCGCCACGGCTTCTGCGTGCCATCGGCGCCTACGCTGCTGCTCACTCACTCCCGCTGTACTTTGAGCCGACGTCAGTGGCCAAGGCCGGCAGGCTTGGCTCGGCCGGCCCAGACTTTACCGCCGCCGTCACCTGCCTCACGCCCAACGAAGCCGAGCTCGTAGCGCTCGCGCAGTCGACGCCCGACTTTGGCGCCACAGCCTGTCCGCTGGCACACCTCTTCCGTGTCTGCCTCCGCCTCGAGTTTGTCGTGGTCAAGGCCGGCGCCCGCGGCGCACTGCTCGCCGTCCGCGACGCCAATGCCACTGACGGTTACACGTCGCTTGTCATGCCTGCCGAGCAGCTGCCGGCCTCGGCCATTGTCGACGTCACCGGCGCTGGAGACTCGCTCCTTGCAGCTTTTGTCTGGGCCATCCACACTTGCGGCGCCGAGCCAGCTCGCGCGCTGGCGCTCGGCCAGGCCGCCGCCCGCCTCACGCTCATGGCCCCGTCGGCCGTCTCGGAACACCTGACCCGCGCAGCCGTCGAGGCTGCCGCCCGCGCCTCGGCGCTCTAGGAGACGGTAAAGACCGAGCAGAGAAGCGTGCGGAAGTGATCAAAGACGGCGGGTGGGTGCTCGGGGCGAGCGCAGGCGAGACGTAAAAGTGCACCGAGCGGAGCGAGTGGTGGATGTTGCCGCGCTCGGTCAGCACGCCCTTGACCGCCTTCAGCACCGTCTCGGCCCGCTTCGTCACCGCGCTGTCCGCCAGATCCATGCCCGCCGGCAGCGAGTGGCTCAGCAGCAGAGGCAGCGAGATGGTGCACACGTCGTACCGCGCCGCCGTGTGGAGGACAGAGCGCAGGCCGGCGAGCATGGGATTCCGCCCGCGGAGCAGATCGGCGTTCCGCATGTGCATTGTGTCGAGATCGACTACAAGGTGGAACGCAAGCTGGATGCCCGCCAGATTGGAGTGGCGAGTCACAAACACGTCACCAGGTACAAGGCTCGCGCCTTCGGCCCGCGCCTGCGCGCGCACAGCCTCAACTTGCACAGACAACGAGGCAAAGTGCAGCTCGGTCGACGCTCGCGCCGCTGCCGCAAACGCACGCCCTTCGTCCGTCGCGTAGCTCAGATCGGCGTCGACGAGGACCACCACAGCTGCCAGCTGCTCCGAGTACAGCGCGAGTGCGGTCGCCGCGCGCTGCGCGATGTGGGTTACCTTGGACGACGTGTCGTACACCAGCGAAGACGCCATCGACGCCAGGCTCAGCCGAATCGAGTAGTTAGTCTTCAGCTGTGCGCCAAGGTAGATGGTGAAGCCCTCAGTGAGGTCTGGCGCCGGCGCTTCGCTCGCGTCGCTGCCCTCGGCCGGCTTGACGCTCGGCGTGCTCTCGTCCCCTCGCCTGCTCGCCACTAGCAGCGCTGACGACGACTTGACCGGCGACAGTGCCGTACGAAGTCCCGACTTGAGCCAGCCCAGCATGTTGCCACCAGAGCCGGCGCCGCTGCCGGCGCCGCTGCGCGCCGAAGCGTTTGCAGCCTGGGCGTGGCCCTCGGCCCACTTGCGCGCCACAGAGAGCTCACGGACCTGCGCCCAGGGATCGTCATCACTCTCGCTGCCGTCGTCTGACCCGTCACCATTGCGCGCTGCTGCTACCTTGCGCTCTTCGGCCAGTGCCTCGAGAAGCTCGGGCGTGGTTGCACAGTCGGTCACAAACTGGGCATACTGCACCCTCTGATGAGCCATGGCTTCGTCGATGCGAGCCTGGACCGCCGCCTCGCGAGCCGCAGCAGCCCTCGCTGCATCCACCGTCGCCATCGGATTGCCGCTCTCGCTTCCGCCACCCTCGACGCTAACCGCCCGCACAGCATCCAGCTGTGCGTTGAGCTCTGCGATCTCCTCAGCAAACGCCGTTTCCAGCCGCAGCACCGAGTCGAGGCCCACGCCGCCGCCAGCCTCGATGACAAACGCAAAGGCCTCATGCAACGGCGCCACCTCTTCGTGCTCGGTTTTCGGCTCGCACGCCAACTCGACGCTCTCGGCAACTCCGGCCGCGCCATCGCCATCTGGCTCGGCCTCGGCCCGGGCCTGGGCCTCTTGAGCCGCGCATGCCGCCGCCACCCGATCGCGAGTCAGCGCTTGCACGGCAGCGTCCTCCGCAGCCGCCAGCAGCGATGCATGCATGTACTCGGGCACGTCTAGTCGCACAAACACCGCCCGCACCGCATGATGGATCGCATCCAGACCACCGTCATGTGCATCTGGCTCGGCATGGAGATGGACCGTGTGTCCCCTCCCGTCGAGCGTGAACCTCACCGTGACCAGCATGACAGCAGGGTTGCCAGTTGTGGTGTCGCACTCGTGGTAGTTGTCGTTACTGTCTGCTGCTGTGATGGTAGTCATGTGGTTGTGCACCTACTTGCCGTCGTCCTCGTCCTCATGGCCGTGGCTATCGTCGCCAGAGTCGTCATCCCTTCCGATCGCCACCATGATCATGATCAACATCATGATCATGATCATGATCACGATCACGATCACCCCTCCCCCGCCACACCCACACACACACATATCTCTTCACCTCCTCCCCGCCACCCCCATACACACACGCTCCTTCTCCTCCTCCTCCTCCTCTGGGCGTTTGTGTTGGTTGTGTTGGCTGTGGCTCAAGTATGGCTTCGCCGTCGGCTGCGGCAAGCTCAGGCGTGGCGGTTCGTCGCTGGACTCCGCCGCCTGTGCCTGTGGCGGAAGGGCTGGCAGGTCATGATGGCGGTGCTGGCAGTGCTGGGGATGATGACGATGGTGAAAGTGTAGCAAGTGCTGGGTGTGGACAAGATGGGGCAGAACTGGCAGAACTGGCAGAGCTGCTGCGGATCGAGGGGGACTTGGCCGAGTCTGTGGCGGTCCTGCTCGGGCGCGTGCCGACGTCAACGGTGGAGCTGGTTCACGGGCCGTGGCACGACGTAGTGGCTGGATGCGAGCTTCTCGACTGGCTCGTTGAGAACGGACCGGCGGCGCTGGGTTGGGACGATGGCACGATGTGGAATCGGGCGCTGGCGTACAAGGCAGCGTGTGCTCTGGCTGGTGCTGGCTGTATTGTCCACGCGTCGGGCCGTCGGCGCTTTGCCGACGCTCGCTACTACTACCGGCTGGAGCCCCGTGCGCTGGCAAAAGGCATCAGACAAGCAGCGCAGAGCCAGGACTCGCCGCCTGTGCTGGGCGCCAGCGAGCTGGGTGCACTGTGCGCTCGGATGGCGGATGGTGGCATCGAGCTCGGGAGCCACAGCTACCATCTAACACGGTACACCGATTCGTTTACAGGCGCCGAGGCCGCCTCGTGGCTCATGGCCCAGCTGGGATGCTCACGCCACAACGCGCAGTCTGTAGGGGCCGCCATGCTCCGCGCAGGGCTCATCCGGCATGTCAACAACGCGCAGCTGTTCTCGGACCAGCCGTCGTTTGTGTACCAGTTTGCCGCCACCCCGCAGCCGGCGATGACGATGCAGCCGCAAGCAGCTCACCTGCGGTGGCATCAGCCTCCCGCGGACGCCGAGTGTATCCGTGTCCGTACTGCGCGTGGAAGGCGTTTGCCACGGCGGTCAGCCGCGAGGCCGTCCTCGAGCACATTGCGCTCTGCCGCAAGGTCGCCGACCAGGTCCTTGCTTCCCACCGCCCGCGCACCGGCTCGGCGTAGCAGGGACCTCATTCGAGCGCGCAGTGGAACTGCCGGTACGCCTCCCACGTGACGAGCGAGACTGTCGACGCGAGGTTATAGCACCGAATGTGGGTGTCGATTTGCGGAACACGAACGTGCTGCACTCCGCCGGCATCAGTCGAGTGCGGGAAGCGCTCCAGCAGGTCGCCGAGACCGGTGATCTCCGAGCCAAAGACCAGGCAGATGCGGTCGTCGTCCGGCCGGGCCGCCGTCGGCTGCGGAGCATCCGCGAAGAACGAAGTGTCAAGCAACGACGCCGGGCCGGTCTTGGTGATGAAAAACATGCGTGTGTCTGCGGCGATCGCATCCAGCGCAGCGTCATAGCTCGCGTGGTGGCTCACCTCAAGATGCTTCCAGTAGTCGAGCCCTGCCCTCCGGAGCGCCTTTTCGTCGAGCGAAAAGCCGAGGTTACCCACCAAATGCAGCGGGCAGCCCATGCCCATGGCTGTCCGCCCGACATTGCCTGTATTCTGCGGGATCTGCGGCGAGACGAGCATGATCGATGCCACCCGCCCAAACAACCCAAGCGATCGTCCTGCCATACCCATACTCGCCTACCCGCCTACCTCCACCCAGAGCACCCGCATGAGTTTGACGACATCTACCATCTACACACATCCATGGACAAGACGGACGATCAAACGACATAACATCGCTGTGTTGGCAAGACCCACCAACCCGGGCAGAACGGGCGAGTACGGGTGGCCACAAGACGATACACCCAACTGGCTACTCCTTCCATTGCCCCACCATGTCTGCTTCCAACAACGTCCTCAAGGTCCGCAAGCTCTCTGAGACCGCTGTCCTTCCCGTCCGTGGCTCACCGCTTGCTGCTGGATATGACCTCGCTTCGTATGTTGAACAAAGTTGGAGGGTATGGCGCGTACAGTGGTGTGTAGGTGGGGGGGGGGGAGGGGGGGGAGAGACGAGCGATGCGACGAATCTACCGATTGCCTTATCCCTTGAGGCTAGCGGGGCAGGAGGGAGGGGGGGGGGGAGGGCAAGGCATATCGAAGAGAGTACAACTCATGCATGTGGGGGTTGTTAATGTTGTGGTGCTTGTGTTGGAACTGGTGGTTTCCGCATGTGTGGTCAGAGCACATGATCTGGTCGTCCCGGCTCATGGCAAGGCGCTGGCCAAGACGGATCTGGCCATTGCGGTGCCTGATGGGACGTACGGTCGAATTGCGCCGCGCTCGGGTCTGGCGTGGAAGCACTTTATCGATGTGGGCGCTGGTGTCATCGATGCTGACTACCGTGGGAACGTGGGCGTGGTGCTGTACAACCACTCGGACGTCGATTTTAACATTGCCGTCGGTGATCGTGTCGCCCAGCTGGTGCTAGAGAAGATCGCGACACCCGACGTCGTCGCTGTCGACGATCTCGATGCCACTGACCGTGGCGCCGGTGGCTTTGGCTCCACCGGCGTCAGCGCCGAGGCCGAGGCCGACAAGTAGCTGGCTCGAGGGTAAAATGGGACATTCTGTGCATCGCTTCCACGCCGCCACCCCGCCACAGACCGCCACACTCTTCTCAGCCCTGCCTACCCCGCCGCAGACTCACCATGGCTGGTCGGGCCAAGTCTGTTCGCGCGTCTGGTGGCAGTGTAGGCAAGCGGAAGCGAAAGAGTACGGCTACCGTCGACGGAGACGGGGAGGCCGACTCGGCGCTGGAGGGCATGTCTGCGACGGCGTTCGGGAAGATGAAGGTTGCCAAGAAGCGCAAGCTGCTGGCACAGTTAGATCTGCATGATGAGCTCACCGACGAGTTGGAGGCAGACGTGATGGCGGCGGTGGCGTTTACGCGAGAGACCCATGGCGAGGATGTGCGGCGGATGGACGCTCGGAGCGAGCTGATAGTCTCCTTTGACGACTTTTACACCGAGTACGCCTATGTGGTGGTCGCCTCGGGCTTCCGGGCCGAGTTTGCGGCGCGAATTGTGCCTGCGCTGGTCGCCGCCGCGCCTGATGAAGCTGCCATGATAGCGCTGTTCAAGAACCGGGCCAAGATCGCCGCACTTGTCAAGGTCTACGGCATGCGGAGCGAGTGGGAGACCCTGCGGGCGAGCTTTCGCACCCCGGACGATCTCACCGTCCTTCCACGCATCGGGCCTGTGGTCAAGTTCCATCTCGCCCGCAATATTGGCCTCAAGTCGTGTGTCAAGCCCGACGTGCACATGATGGCGTATGCCGCCAAGCGCGGATGGCACTCTCCGATCGACATGGTCGAGGCGCTTGCTGCCGCCTACCACCTCCCGATCGGTACCCTCGACTTTTGTCTCTGGGTCTGGATGTCGCACGGCTTTGGTTCGGCCACCTCAAAGTGCTGCCACGGTGGGTACGAGCTGCGGTGACCTTGTTGCCGGCGTTTACCACAGCATGGGGCGAGTGATGATCGAATGGTCGTCCCACCACATCACGCCACCAGAGACCTTGGATCTGATCCATAACTCAATCAATGCTCAGTCCCAAACCTCTAATTATCTACCCACGGCGATTGCGCGAGTGATCCGAGCTGGGCGCCGAAGCCATGGCTCGTGGCATGTTCGGCAGTACTCGTGGCGAAGCGCAGAGCGCTCGCCACTTTCCGGCCATCCTCCGGCCGATGCCATGCAAAACCCAACGCCTGAGCTGTTCTCCACTAAATCATACACGTGCTACGATTGCGCGAGTGTGTCAGGCTGGGCGCGCGAGCCATGGCCCGTAGATTGGACGTCTCACCGTTTGCAGTCGGGCAGCAGTACGACAGCGGTCAGCGGTCGGCATATCGGTGGAACGCGGCACAATACCTCACCCGGCGGGCGACATGGCTGACAACCCGTTCGAGTCGTCAGGCTCGGACCACAACCCGTTCGACGAGACAGAAGACGATGCCAATCCCTTTGCAGAAGACTCGGACAACCCCTTTGAGAGCCAGACTCCGGTACGGTTGGTAGGTAGCTGGGTAGTTGCCCTTTGGCCTTCCCCCCTTCCCCCTTCCCCCTTCCCCCCTCCCCCCCCGCTCCCCTGCCGCCAGCGCGTGCCACGACTTCTTCCCCTTTGCCTCGGTTGGGTGACAACCCTTCCATGCATGCTCAATATGGAGGTTTGTGGAAGGTGCAAAATAGCGTTACGGGTCTTGGGTTGTAGCGATACTTACAAGAACGGGTGTGGTGTGCGGGCTGACTTGGGGGGGGGGGGAGGGGCGGGGATAGGCGACACGGGGTGCCGGTGGCCGACGCGCTGGTGGGCAGAGCTCTGGGAGGGCTGCAGGAGGAGCAGGAGGAGCGGTGCGGGCAGAGGTGGGACGGACAGGGACGCGGACAAAGCGGCAGCTGGAGATTGAGGCTGAGGAACTGCGTCGGCGTGAGGAAGACCTCAAGCTGCGGGAGCGGGCGCTGGCGGCTCGCGAGGCTGCACTGCCTGGCGACCGGTCGCCTAACTGGCCGCGGTGCAAGCCACTGGTCTTCCACTCGATTGAGGAGGACATTCCCGCCGCCGGGCAGCGGATGGTGCGCATGACGTACATTGGCTGGTATATTCTCGTCCTTTGCTACGTCATGAACTGGATCTCGCTCATTGCGGTCATGATCTCGAACTTTGACGGCGCGGGCAACACGGCCATGTCATTTGGCCTCGCCTGCATCATGATGATCATCGGCATCCCCATCTCGTTTGCCGGCTGGTACCGCCCCCTGTACAATGGCGCGCGGACAGGCAAGTCGTCGCTCTTTGTTTGGTTTTTCTTCGCCTTTTCGGTCCACATTCTCCTCTGCTGCTTCTGGGCGCTCGGCATTCCGTCGACCGGCTCGGCCGGCCTCATCATCGCCCTCACTGCCTACGGCAAGGATGATCCGACCTCCGGCACCCTCTGCCTCTTCACCGGCTTTGCATGGGGCATCTGCGCCGTCTGGTCCCTCCTCCGTATCTACCGCGCCCACCAGTACTACCTCTCCCGCTCCATGTCCGCCTCGTCGGCCAAGCACGAGGTGGCCACAGCAGCAGCGCGCGCCTCTGTGTAGCTAAGGCCTCTCGCCGCGAACCTGACCATCACCTGGTACCCCCGATGTGCAAGCGTAAAACCCACACATCCCTCACCTCCTCCTCCTCAACCCGCACTGCCAATGCTGTAGCCACCGCAGACCGGGCAACAATGATGGCAGCCAAGTTGCCTGCGCGGGCAAGCCAAGTGCACGCCGGTATACATTGCGGCCGAGTGCGGCCACCTCGAGGTGGTGCAGTGGCTCGTAGAGGACGGTGGCGGGTCCGCTCAACATTTTTATGGCGACGCAGGGAACACGGGCCGGACCGGTGGGACGGACAGGACGGGCAGGACGAGTGGGGCGGGCTGGACGGACAGCAAGTGCAGGGAATGG